TTAGAAAAGAGCTAATCCTTTTGAAGAAAATTGCTGTGCTTATAGAATTAGTAAATCAAAATGAAAATACCTGTTGGAATCTTTTGTAATACTGAGTAAAATTTTTGATAAAGTTTTTGATGAAGAGAGTATGTTAAAACTGTGTGGTCATTTCAGTGATTTTTAACATCAACATTACATTTATTTTAAAAAGTTAGAGGGTATGTGTGTGTGTTCTCTTTAATTTGTTAATATGAAAATAGGAATGATCTTAATATGAATTCTTTAAATTTTGGAGAAATGAAATAAGGTAAAGCATTACTTCAAATATTTTTTTTTCAAGGATTGAACTGTAATTTGTGTTATATAAACGGACAATAGCTATTTGATAGTAAAGCTCACATGTAAGATTACATTATTTGATTATCAAATACTGACCTTTTTATAGAGGTGATGCAAACAATGATATTTAAAGTTATCTGAAGTATTTTTCTGAGGTTCCTTAAGTTATGTATGTTAGACACAACTTTAGTTTGTATTTCCATAGATTTCTAGTCCAAATGGTGGCTAGGCTCCCAACCTAGATTATAAAGCTTGTTTAATTCCTAAGGGAGCTAAATTACTGTGTATGTCTCCTGTGAAAAACGATAAAATGTGCTATTCTAACACTGGTAAGTAAACAATAATTGCAACAAAGGTAAGAAGTAAATACAAATCCTTTTTGACTAGTTAAAAAACCGTATTAGGGAAAACAGATTTGATTTTATAAAATAAGAAAGAGATAGATTGAGAGTATTATGGAAATTGTGAAGAGGATTCTGACACTGATGCTTTATTTTGTCAAGATGCATGAAAAACCATGAATTTTAATATTGCTTGATACAGATGTGTCACTCACTAGCCTTGGTCAGAGTTTTCTTAGGTTCATTAAGAAACTAAGTGAGTGAGTTAAGAAGGAAGAAAAATTTTTTTTTTCCACATAAAAAATTGTAAAGATAAGCCCTGGCCAGATAGCTCAGTTGGTTAGAGTGTTGTCCTGATATGCCAAGGTTGTGGGTTTGATTCTTGGTTAGGGCACATACAAAAGTCAACCAGCCGAAACCGGTTTGGGTCAGTGGATAGAGTGTCAGCCTGAGGACTGAAAGGTCACAGGTTCAATTTCAGGCAAGGGCATGTACCTTGGTTGCGGGCACATCCCCAGTAGGGGTGTGCAGGAGGCAGCTGGTTGATGTTTCTCTCTCATGGATACTATTTCTAACTCTCTATCCCTCTCCCTTCCTCTCTGTAAAAAAATCAATAAAATATATTAAAAAAAAAAGAATCAACCAGTGAGTGAATAAATAAGTGGAACAACAAATTGATGTTTCTCTTTCTCTAAAATCAATAAAATTAAAAAAGTTTGAATTAAAAAATTGTAAAAATATACATAATGCATTTTTTAAAGCTTAAAGAAATGGGAAAAAAATGGGTTAAAGAGGACATTGATAAACTTTCCAGAAATCACCAAAGGTAAAGTTTGCTGAGCAGTGGGCTAGTGAGAGTAAAAGCCACAGAGTGCATAACCCCCATGGGGAAGGAAGTTTGGCAAGTCAGCTGTTCTTACATTGTTTTTAGGATAAGATATGGTTTGACAGGTGTTGGTGGGGAGGGGGCAGAGTCTGACCAAAACGGACCACATCAGGAAGATTTATAATTGTATCTGGGGAAGTGGCTCCAAACTGAATTTTCTTTATAAGACATTTCAGTACCTGAGTTTATTTTGTGATCTCTACAAACTTAAGAATTAGGTTTCAGGGATTTCTGTGCCATTTTTATTGGGAGTAGAAAAGAGAGGAAATGTAGCTGGTATAAAAGTATTAGAGATTTGGCAGTGACTTCTTATGAGAGAGAAGATACAAAGGGAAAATAACTCTGGACTTAACATAATACACTTATCTATCTCTGTTGGAGAATAGAAATAGATGGCATGTCTCTTATTATGAAGGTATGGTTATATACTAAGTCAACATCTGACAGTATATGGGATAGTTGCCTCTTTTTAAAGAATTTGGCTGTGATTAGAGACTTAAAGTGAACCTTATTTAAAAAAAAATAGATCCTTATTTTTCACGGGTATCATATAACAAAAGAACACATGTTTTGGAAATACTGGAATTCAAATTATATGTCATATCCCAGAAATATGTTCCATAGCCTAAAAATTTACATGTGCAGAGGAATCCTTAAATATCAGCTGCTAGATAATTTCTCTAGTATTTCTGTAGATGCAAGCAGTGTTTCCCATGAGTAATCCTTTATAGAGAATTTTATCTACTGAAGGTCTTTCTCCCGTGGCCTTTTAATCTGCTTTCATGTAAGTATATAAATACAGTACTTTCTTTTTTTGGTTAATCTTCACCCAAGGATATTTTTTACATTTTTTGTTTGTTTTGTTTTGCTAGTTTTTTTAGAGAGAGAGAGTGGAAAGGAGGAGTGGGGAGAGAGAGAAACCTCGATATGAGGGAGACACATCCATTGGTTGCTTCCTCTATACACTTTGAATGGGGATCTGGCCTGCAATCAGGATATATACCCTTGACCAGAATAGAATCTGGGACCTTCAGTCCACAGGCCAATGCTCTAACCACTTAGCAAAACCTGCTACAGTATTTTCTCTTAATAATTAAAGGAAAATATCAAGACTTAATTGATATTCCACTTGAAGTTAAAAAAAAAAAAAGTCTGATATTTTCACATATATGTCAACTAAATGTGTCAAAATCTGAATAGAAAATAAATACCTAAGTATGACAGGTAAAGTAAATATACCAGTACCCTGGGATTTAGTGTGCATTCTATTTGAATATTAAATTTAATTCTGAGCTTCTGGTCACCCAGTAAAAAGGGAAATATAATTTCTGTCATCATTATATGATCAGAAGAGACAAACCACTTCCTTTTTCTGAATTCTAAAGTTCTCAGTATAAATCAGCTTTCCTCAAATTGTGAATATAGAACAATTACTCTGCTAAATATTAATATATCAGGATTAAGTTTAGGAAAAACTGGGCCGAATAAGATAAACAGATTTATTTTATGTTTTTTTATAACCTTAAATATTCCTTATCTTCACTTTCTTAAAGAAATAAAGTATTTCCCTAATTTATTTTGCCATGATGCGCTTTTTTAAATAAATACTAAGCTTTGCAAGATGCTGGTCTAGGTCCTTAAACAATATGATGGATTGTGTCTTCAATACCATTATTGCAGAAGATATCACAATTGCTTTTTATTTGATCATTCTTTATGTTGATTTAAATTCTTTTGAAACACAATCCAAGGCAAAGATAACTTAAGAACCTAGCTTCTCCCTATCCATGGAGAATTGCTGTTTTTGAAAAGCATGTGCAGGAGGGTTTTGGGAACTAAGTATACCTATTGTCTGCTAGACCTGCAATTGGTCTAGGAGTTTGTCAGATGCAGACTTAGTGATAGTCCAGACTGAGGCTGATTCTATTTTATTTTTCCTATTTTCTCCGTTGACTAGGAAAAATAAAATATTAATAGAATCAGCCTCATTTGCCCTAGGAAAATGTTCAATTCCCAGTTAGGGCACATGCCCAGGTTGCAGGCTCGATCCCTGTGCAGGCCGTTTCCCTAGGAAAAATAAAATAGAATCCACAATCTAGATTACGAGGGCTATAGCTGTTACAATATGGAGCAATGGCCTGAGTTCTCTACCTCCTCCCCAGGGACCTGCTGGACTAATTATTTTGAAAACATTAGTAACAGCTTCTAATTCAGTCCCAAAATGTACCAGTAGCCCCTTTGGTCTCCCTTGTTGCTCTTCAACCTGTTGCTGTACACTTCTTTTACCATAATCAGCTGTCTCATTTCTCTTTACCTAGCCAAAATATGTCTATTTGCTCTGTAGAACACTTGTTTATGGGATACAAATTACCTTATATTATATTAGGGTCATGTACTATGTTAGCTTCCATCTCTTCATTTAATGTTTCTTCTATTCCTTGGCATTAACTTGATTCAGCTCTGTCTTTCAGTTGTTGCTTTTTTTTTTTTCCCCCCTGTACATACCATGTGGGTAGGAGATTGGACAGACCTATTAGCACTCTTTTCCATTCTCAGTAATTCCTCCAGATTATTCTTGTTTACTTTCATTTAATAACAAACAAAAATAACTTAAAATGATTCTGTTTCCTTGAAGCTTGTGCCTTTAAATTTACTAGTTTCTTACTGTAATTTTCTCTCATTCTCATGCACTTTTGTTTAAACTTATTTTAATTTGATAGTAATATATAAGAATTGTACCTGAAATGGTGAAATCTGGTTATATTGAAATTTTGATTCAAGGAGAGGGGCTGTTTTGCTAACTAGTGTGGTAGAAAGAGCATTGGATACTTTGAGAGGTCTGGCCATTTGCAAATCACTTCCTTTTTTTGTACTACAAAGGGGAAAGAATAATCCATAAAATGCAGTTAGTTGCATATATGTGTCTTTGTGAGTTCGATAAACTTTGATGTTTAAGATCTAATAAAAATTAGAGAACTATTCTCTTCTAAGATGGTTCATAAGGTCACATTATCTCTAGTAAAAGCTTTGATTTCTCACCCAGCCAGAGCTTTGCTCCATGAACCAGGAGGTCACAGTTCGATTCCCAGTTAGGGCACATGCCCAGGTTGCAGGCTCGATCCTTATGCAGAAGGCAGCCAATCAATGATTCTCTCTCCTCATTGATGTTTCTGTCTCTTCTTCTTTCTTCCTCTCTCTGAAATCAATAAAAACATAAAAAGTAAATTATAAAAAAAGCTTTGATTTCTCTATACCATGTATTTTTTATAGGAAACCATTTTTTGAAAAAAAGAAGGGAATATTTGTTATTTGTGGTACTTTAATCTGAATGATAGCGGAAAGGGAGGAATCTATTAAACATTATTCCATGCAGCTATTATAAACCTAAGGAAAAACAATCTATTATTTCTTGAATTATGTTGTTAATGTTACCTTTTATGTTTTATTTACAGGTATATGATGTTGATTGATGGCACAAATGAAGTTTTTATGATTGATAGAGATAATTCAGTGTTTCATGTTTCAAATCTGGAATTCCCATTTCGTAAAGATCTCCGTATACATTTATCAAATACTCTGTTGGATGGGGTAAGTCATAATTTATGATTTAAAAATATTAAATATTGTCATTTTTCTTTCTTGTAAGTAAAAGTGTGTTTTTATTAATTAAATAGTAACTTTCTAATAAAATCTAGTTTTTAAAAAGTTTTTTTTAAAATTGAGGTATAACTGGCATATACAGAATTGAATCTAGTTTTTATTAGGATAGTAAATTCCATTTATCTCTTATTTACTTTACTGTCTAGATCATTGTCTTGGGTGTGAGAGTTAAGTGAACAAAGTTAACTTTTAATTTTTTTGTTCTTCATGATTGAAAAACATTTTTGTTGAAAAAGACTACTTTTATTATTTTACTTGTCAGTTGAATGTTAATTATGAGATACCACTTAATAAATTTTCCCTTGGTTCTTTAGCTACATGGACTAATAGTCTTGTTTTAAGAAACTCTGCTTTTTAAAGCAACTGCTATACTTTTACATTTTAATTTGGAAAGGTGATAAGAATTTTTCCATTTCAGAAAAATCTAGTGATCATAAAATTACTTGGTTAAAAATGTTTTAACTTTATTTCATGAAAATAGCTTTCTTTTCCCCATTCTAAAAATATTGACTCACTGTAAATAAAAATTAAAATAATATTAAAAATTAACCAAAAAGCTGGTAGAAATGATCTGAACTCATACCATTGCAGTAACTTCTATTACCATTTCGATGAATATTATTCTAGACTTTTCTTATGCTAGAGGTTCAATCTTATGTCTGCTCCTGAGGGATGTAATACATTCATACTACTGATATCAATTCACAGCATGGATTCTTAAACAGAATGTGTGTCAATTTTTCAGGGAGCTCCTTCCCATTTCAGTAAATTCTGAGTAATTGTGATATCTCTGCCACAGAGGTTGAAATGACTGCTCTGATCAAATATATACACACATTGATAGTTATGTAATTTTTCATGAAAAGAACCAAATGTTACATGAATTTTGAAAACCCCCCCACTTAGCAATTTGTTTTGGACACCTTTTCCTAAATATCTGAACGATATACTATTTATTGTATATGTATATGTTAGGGTTTCCAGAACCCTATTTTGGTTATGAAAATTGTAGAGAATGCTTGTAAAAATAGGACCCATTCTAATAGCCCATCATAGACCTAATGAATTTGATTTTCCCAGTGGCCAAGTTTTCTGTACTTTTAAAAAGTGCCCAAGTGATTCTAATCAGGCAAGTTTGAGAGACAGTTCTGTGATTTTTAAAAACTAGCTCTCTTTTGGTGGACACTTCGATGTTTTTCTATTATAGGGCACACTTGAATACATATTCTTATACTTTTTCCTTTTCACAGTTGTATAATGTTATAATTAAGATTCTTAGAGGTGAGATTGTAATAAATAATTAGAATCTTTTGATTGCAAATAACTGAAGTCCAACTTAAACTAACTAGAGAAAAAAAAAGAAATAGATTAGCACAAATAATTAAATTTCAGATTGGTTTGCTTCAGCCTTGATCTACAGGCTCCAACAATATTGTCTAGGCGTTTTCTTTTTCTTTGTTTTACTTGTTTGTTTGGTCTCATTCTGCATGAAGACTCTTTCCACTTGGGGGGCAGATTGCTCAAAGATAGCTTTCCCCCCAACATCCATATACCAATCCAAGGGGAGACTCCCAAGGGCCTTGCCTGAGTTATATACCCATGGAAGAATGGCAGTGGAGGCCAGGAACCTCACTAGTAGCAGTATCACTTGAAGTTCAGGAGAAGTTGCGATCTTAAGGAGAATGGATGGCTACAGGTTATACTATGTTCACTATGCAAGGGCATGCCCATTTTAAATATTGATGTGTATAATGAAGAAAGTTTGAGCACATGTACAGTTCTAACAACCATATGCAAAGGATCTGTACATTATCTTAAACACTGAGTTTTGAAACTTTAATGTTTGGTGAAGGAAAGAATGATCTTTCCATTTTAAGGGATAGTATAACATAGTGGTTATGAGACCTAACTCTGACAATGCTTTATTGGCTTCATCAGTTATTATATGAGGGACTTTATATAATTTTCTCAGTTTCCTTAGCTATAGTGAAGTGAGGCTAATAACAGTTCTTAGTTCTTCATGCTATTGTGAAGATTCTAAGTTGGATAATTTATAAAATGCTGATCATAGTGTCTGGCACATTGTAAACTGAATGGTTTACCTCTCTTAATATGCATTTATGTGAATTGTTATGGGGTTAACATTTTTTCACTTTTTTATTAATTATTGCAATTCTTCTGTGAGTTGCCCATTCAAATCCTTATATATTTTCCTGTTGGGTGTTCATATTTTTTTCATATTGATTTATGAGAGCTTTTTGTCTATAGGGGATATTCATGAAACATTTTGAAAAAATGTGTTTTTACTTTTCCTGGTATTTTTTGTGGCATAAATTTAAATTTATGTAGGAAAAATGATAAACCCCTTGATTTTTAATATTTGTGTCATTTTAAGAAAGATGCTTTTTATTTACTTACTTAATTTTTGTTAATCTTCACCAGAGGATACTTTTTTCCATTGCTTTTCAGAGAGTGTGGAAGTGAGGGAGTGAATGAGGAGTGGGGGGGAGGGAGAGAAAAAGAGGGGTGAGAGGAACACATTGATTGGTTACCTCCTGCACGGACCTCCAACCAGGGATCAAACATGTAACCCAGGTATGTGCCCTTGATTAGGAATCGAACCCATGACCCTTTGGTGTGCAGGCCGACACTGATCACTGAGCAACACTGGCCAAGGTTGAAAGATACTTTTACGTCAGAATTTTATAATATCTGTATTTTCTAGTAATTTTATGGTTTTAATTTGTATAGTTTTAAAAATAATATTTGATCTATCTGAAATACATTTTGATAAAAGGAACAAAAGGACTTTAATTTTATTTATTTCCAGATGTCTAAACTGTTGCCTCAGTATCATTCAGCTAATCAATTTTTCCTTTATAATGGTATGATGGATTCCTTTATTTATCATTGTTCCTTCCTTCCTTCCTTCCTTCCTTCCTTCCTTCCTTCCTTCCTTCCTTCCTTCCTTCCTTCCTTCCTTCCTTCCTTCCTTCCTTCTTTCTTTCTTTCTTTCTTTCTTTCTTTCTTTCTTTCTTTCTTTCTTTCTTTTTTTTCCTGATCATTTTCCCATTTCATTAAATTTTGGTCTTCTAGTGGTAGTTTTATATTGATTTAGATACTGTGACTTTAATATACAATTTAGTGTCTGACAACCCAAGTACCCCCAATCTTCTGGCTATTCTGAAGTTTGCCACTTAGATTTTTAAAAAAAAATTTCTTTATTTATTAAGATATTATATAAAAGTCCTTATGCTCCCTTTGCCTCTTATCCCCTTGGTTTTTGTGTCCATTGGTTATGCTTATTTGCATGCATACAAGTCCTTTGATTGGTCTCCTCCCCTCTCCCCTTCCTTTCTTTTGAAGTTTGATAGTCTGATTGATGCTTCTTTGTTTCTGGATCTGTTTTTGTTCATCAGTTTATGTTGTTCACTATATTCCACAAATGAGTGAGATCATGTGGTATTTATCTTTCTCTGAATGACTTATTTCACTTAGCATAATGCTCTCCAGTTCTATACATGCTATTGCAAATGATAGGAGTTCCTCCTTTTTATAGCAGCATAGTATTCCATTGTGTAGATGTACCACAGTTTTTTAATCCACTCATCTGCTGATGGACACTTAGGCTGTTTCTAATTCTTAGCTATTGTAAATTGTTTACCTTCTATAATTGAAACTTTGTAGCCTTGAGTGGAGGCCAGCAAGGGTGCGGAAAGCTTGGGTTCTTCCATTGCCTGGGAAACCTAAGCCTCCCTCCTGCTCTCTGTGGCCGCAGCCATCTTGGTTGGGGTTAATTTGCATACTCACTGTGATTGGCTGGTGGGTGTGGTTGGTGGCGTGGCTTGTGGGTGTAGCAGAGCTATGGTCAATTTGCATATTACTCTTTTATTAGGATGTGCTCCTCTATTTCTGGTTTAAATGAACAGGTATTGGGACAATAGAGGGAGGCTTGGAAATGTTCACTTAAACTCTCAATGATGGAATTACCCCAATGAAAATCACGTATATAAATACATATAGTTATTAGTTAACAGAGGGCATACCACTTTCAAAGTGATCTGAATACTTGTTGCTCCAATCCCTTGTTCTATTTTTTATTTTTAAATATATCTTATTGATTTTTTACAGAGAGGAAGGAAGAGGGATAGAGAGTTAGAAACATCGATCAGCTGCCTCCTGCACACCTCCTATTGGGGATGTGCCTGCAACCAAAGTACATGCCCTTGACTGGAATTGATCCTGGGACCTTTCAGTCTGCATACTGACACTCTATCCACTGAGCCAAACCCGTTAGGGTCAATCCCTTGTTTTTTGTTTATTTGCCAACTAAATATTCAAGTGTCCAATATTCTATCTGTGATTAGAGAATAGCATGGTTGAGTTAGTCTGAGGTATAGTTTTGAGTGATGAGAAGGTTCAGGGTATGACCTAGAGCACATGTGTCAAACACAAGGCCCGCGGGCCAAATCCGTCCCGCCAGGCCTTGCAATGTGGCCCGCACCGCGCTGTCATCACTGCACTCCGCTACGTTTCCATCACAATGACAGTTTATGACTGTTCAGTAAACAATCCGCGATTTAGGCTGGATTTTAGATTTTGGCCCCTTCTCTGATTGAGTTCGACACCCCTAACCTGGAAAGTGAGAGGTGGAGATTGTGTGAACCAGAGCAATGGAAGCAAGATCAAGGAAGTAATACAATAGATGGTTCATAATGAGATAGGAGAATAGGATGACTGTGAACTAGGTACTAAAAGATTAGAAATTCAGTAAGAAGGTAGTATAATTGGATGGAGACTGAGCAAAGAGTAACTATAGAGTCACAAAACAAAGAGTTATCTATACTGTGTGTATCCAAAGGAGCTTCTAGTACAACTTCATTTCTGTGACAGGGTGTGCAGTAAAATATCATTTTTTAAATAAAAGT